ATTATTCTCCAAATCAATTAAGAAATCGGACACATCTTTTAAAAAAAAGAGCAATTCCTAGCACAACCTCACATCCAGTTGGCCTGTCCAAGGCAGGGAATGGAGAGAGTAAGAGAACACGCCTGAAAGAAACATATGCTACAACACCAGAACGATGTTCATCTATAAAGCCTCTCAAAATGGAAAGACAGCATTCTACAGCCTCCTGTGGAAGGCAGATAAAGGAAAGATGATAAATGATCTGCTATGAAAAAGTAATTTCATTTTTTTCAAACCTTATTTCAACTCCAAAAAAATCCAGGCTGTACTGAATAATACCTGGCATTTGTCCACACTTGATTCATCTAAACATTAGCTGAGGAGATTTTTGTACAACAGGTAAAAGCAACAAGAAGCTGCTTAAGGCAACTTCAATCACCTCATCACAAACACTGTTTGCAATGGTTGAAGTAAAAACACCTTTCCTTGCAATTAGTATACAGACAGCACCCCTACCATCAACACCTAAGAAGATACCAACAAGCCCTCATGAGGAAAATACATTAAAAGTTACCTAGTAGACTGCATTTGCCTTGTTGTTTCTGGATCCTCAAACATCTTGACAATAGGCTCAGTTTCAGCTTGAAGCTGTTTCAGCTGTGCAACAACAGTTGTTCTCTTCTCACGCAAAGCTTAAAAAAAAAAAAAAAAAAAGAATTCCACATACAGATTGAGTCTTTGCAGAAACTAACCTGTAATCACATGGTGCTGACAGCACATTTAAATAGGTTTTCTTCCAATTGCTACCTAGCTTGATCTTCCAAGGAAGTCACAAAACCAGAGATACCTATGAACTCGTTGGCTTAACAAGTAGTCTCTACCATATGGTTTCTCATAGCGTGCACAGTTCTAATCAAACCACCCAAGAGCAGATACCTAAAATAGCCTTGGCTCAAGCTAAGGTATGTTCAGGCTTCCACTAAAGGAGAAGCACCTTTTTAAGTAACTTTGCTCATTCCAAATAAACCTGGGGAAAAAGTAAAAAACCTAAGCTATGATACTAATTAGATTTTCCTCTAACCAACCAGGTTCTAAAAGTACACTTTTAAACTATTTCACAACATTACACATGCTAACTCAGAACTCTTTATGAGAAATTAGTAAGAAAAAGTGGCCATCCAAGACTTCCATGTGCAATAAAATGAATACTTAAAAGTTCAGCCCATGTGCTTAAAAAAAAAAAAAAAAAAAAAAAAGACAGTAGCACCTTAGGACTGGAAATACATGCCAAGAAACATATGGGATCCAAGAAAGACAAACCAAGGCCAAATCTTAGGAGATAATAGAACCCAGAAGCCACTGGAGAGGGTCACACACCAGGGCACAGAGCATTACAGTGAGTCTATCAGACTTTTCTTTCATGATTTCTTTTGTAGAGGATATCCAAAGTGGATAACACCATTATAGTGACCCAACCTAAATCCAGAAGTGACTTGCCTGACAGGAAGTATTCCAGTAAGGAGAAATTATCTCCAGCTTCAGAAGAATCTTGAGATTTTAAAATGGGAAACAGATGAAAAACAAAAACATTCAGTTAACTTACTAACAAATGTTTTTCCCTTTCCCTGTGACTGGCTGCATAATCATAAGGTGATTGTGGAAGGCAAGACATCTAAGTACACTAACTTTAGAAAACTTCTACTACAGTAAGGTCTTAGCAAAAAGTTACTGCAAAATTGAACAAAGTCAGTAAGCCTGCAAGTAAAAAGAAATGGCACATACATACATTCTGTTAAATGTAACCTATCTTTGCATAGAAAGTTCCACGTAAGAGTCATTTGTTCAGATTGCTTGTGAAAGCATTAGCTCTGCTACTTCCTGTTCTTAGAAAAAAAGGCCAATATAAAATAAGTCATCATACTAAGATAAGTCCTATACTTCCAAAATGCATGCAGAGCCAAACATCATTAGCAAGATTAAAGTTGTTGGCCACTATGAAGGCAGTTTTCCCAATGGCCAAGTTCATCCAACTCAGGTGCAGCTATGAGCTTTCAAACCTAAAGAGCTTAACAACCTGCTTAAATACTTCACTGTAATCAGATGAAAAATATGAGACTAATTACTTTTGAAGGCATGCTACTGATACTGTAACATTCTTCTCTAGTAGTTTAGAAAGTCTGGAGCAAGAGAAGAAAAATAAACTTTGCAGCTTTGAGAATTTAACAGCCCTGAGATCACCTGATGGAACTGAAAGGTGAAGCTATCATTGTAACTGCTCCTTGAATGACAAAAGTGAAAACCTGTCATAACCTTCTCATAACTGGCACTATCAGCCCAATGGAGCACTGCATATACACCTATAAAGAACAGACAATGCTAACATATGACATATTTGATCAAAATGTTCAATCCAACATCTGTAAGTCTTAACAGTTCTACATATTTCAAAAGGGGCTGTGAGTCTTTAATTTAAAGAACCTGGAATGAGCAAGACTCAGGCAAAACAGCTGGAACCTGTACCCAGATAAGCAAAAACACCTGAATTTCTTCCTCCTAAGCTGCAGACTAGGCAAGCTGTAAACCCACTGCAGTTTAGAAAAAATTGAACAACTCCATAAGATGAACTAGAAGTGTATAAACAGGGTGAAATGCCTATTCAGAGAACAGCATCAGGAATAAGAAAACTCACAATAAAGATACAATGAAAGAAATAAAGGAAAAACAAACACGAATAATGTAAGCTAAAAGCTAGTTATCTTATTTTTCTCCCCCCTAAGCTACCATGTGGGAAGATGGATATTTTCTTAAATTTTTAAAAATCTTGCAGAAGGAGATATTTTTCCTAATGATAGAACATTAAGCATTAGTTTTCGTATGTCTATAATGATTTACTTTGGACTTTCTCCTTCTAGAGAAGCAGCATTTATCTGTAGATACAAGTGATTAAGACCAGGAGTACGCAGTGTTCTAGTATTATGCATTCTTTCCTTAACATCAAAAGAAAACAGTACTGAAGCTTGAGTGCCACATTAGAAGTACTACCAGCTATTAATTTACAAGCTAAATAAATATAAAAATATTTCTTTATCAACTGAGCAACTTACCATGTGGAATTTCATCAGAATAAAGATTTTTGTACACATCCATAGCAAAATCCACCATGTTGGTATCACTAAGGAGATCCAGTTTTCCTTGAAGTAGTTCTTTTTCATTATATATCTGAAACAAAAATCATCAACAGATTTCTTTGAATACTGCTAAACATTTACCAATTCAAATTATCTAATTACCTTTATTGTTACCGTTCAATTTATGAATTTTGTCCAACGAAGTTATTTTAAACATCAACCTCTCAACTTTTCAAGGTCTGATACCTCTGTCAAGTGGCAGGGTTACCATAAAGTGTCTCTGTTTTTCCAGTACCAGTAAGACAATGCTAATTTCCTGCTATTTATGAATAGCAGAAACTTCAAAAGAATAGTTAGGAGACAAGTCATCTTTTTAGATGATCATTCCTAATGAAAGTAAATGAGTTACTTTGTGGGCCAAAGCAAATTATGAATTCTTCATGGAGAAAGGGGAGAGAATCCAACGTGAAAAATCTGACCAAGACTTAAAACAAACCAACCAACAAATAAAAGACACACCTGTTCTGGCCCCAGAACTTAAGGAAGCACAGCTCTGAGGGAAAGTTCAGTGAATGCTTTGCACAGTGCATTCTGACTAGTGTAGACTCAAGTTACTCAAGTTTAATCTCAAAAGATGCTCAAGATGAAACTTGAGTTGTAGCACAGCTTAATTTAAAATATGTCTACACCTCAGGCAAGCTGCATTGAGCTTCTGTAGTTGGGTCATTTTCTTTAAGTTTGTTTAACTACTTCTTAAAGGTCTTGGTAATAACTGAGCTATGCATTACGAATATTAGGTCTTTAAGATTCAGGTGAGGATGTGAACTACCAAAAAACTCAAACATGCACATGTATGAAGGCTGTGTTACACTTCACTGCATCATGATCTCTCAGACACAAAACTTGAAAGGTTAAGTTCAGCTTTGAACTGAAGAGTAGTCAAGATAACACACTGCAATAATATCTCTGCTTAACCTGTAGTGGTCCACAAATGCCAAAACACAAAAAACACCCCGGAGATGACTGTTACCAACCTAAACCCACACCTCAGACAGAAGAACTCGGCAGGTCAGGTTGTCCCATGCATGCATGTTGGGCTAGCTTATTTTTATGGCACCTAAAATAGTACGCACTTCAATATCCAAACTTGGGCAGCCTTGCACGTTTTGTCTCCTTCTTAAGACATTGGAACTAAGTACTTTAAGTCATTTTGATTGACACAAGTCCAGCGTGAAGCACCTCTGGCACAACCAGGTTTCACACGGGGATCCAGCTTCACACCCACAAAAACAACGAGGGATGGGACACGGCGGGTCCTGCGCTTGGTCTGAGCGCAGAAATAAAACCAGAGCGGCAACGTTTTATCGCAGAGGCCGGTAAGTAACGCCGCCCGCACCGAGGGCCCCACGGCCCAGCGCCGCTGACAGCCGTACCTGGGGGGCGGCCCGCACCATCACAGAGCGACGGAGAGCGAGTGGCCACGCGAGGCACAGCTCCCGCCCTCCCGCTTCCTCCCCACGCAGCGCACTCCCCGAGCCGGCGCAGGGCCGGGCCGCGCCCACAGGGCCCCGGCGAGGCAGAGGCACCGGCGGCACCCGGCACCGTCACCGGCGCCGATACACCGTTCCTCGCCGCTCGTCCGCTCCAGAGCCGGCTCCCTCGCACTTAGAGCACGCACGTACCTCCTTGACAGAGAGGAACTCCAGCAGCGGGAAGACCAGGTGTCGGTCCAAGAAGTGCGCGATCTTCGTGGTCAGGTCGTACTCCGCCATCTTGGTGCGGGAAAGAAAGAGGCGGGGCGAACGCCGGCACGCGAGGAAGCGGGCGGTGACGGCCTCTCTTAAGGGCTGTGCGCCTGCGCGGGATTGCGACTGCGCTCTGACTGAGGGGAAATGGTCTGCAGGGCGCATGCGCAGGAGGTTTGAGCGTTCGCTGGTGTGAGGCAGGCGAGGGGCGGTGGGATCTTTGGGCTTTCTGTGTGGAAGGAATGAGTGGGCTGGTGTCCGGGAGCTTCCAGTCCCAAACTTGAGGTAGCTTGGGGTCCGTGTGGGCGCTGGCTGTAGGACCCCAGTGTAAGTGGTGACTGTGGGGCCTGTGAGCTTCCTGAAGAAGCTAGCAAGTGGCAGAGATCCAGGCAAACGTGGAAATACTTTCTTAAGTTTGGCCGTAGAAACAGAGGAGTCAATGATGTTATGGATACATCACAGCGTGGATACAGCATGTAGCCTGAGTCAGGAGAGCAGCATATTTTCTAAGATGTAAAGTCACTCACTCTAAATGGTGTAGAAAGTGCTTTGTGCTTGTAATGTTTTCAGGCTTAAATTGTCTAGAAATGAGTATTTTCCAACAATCAGAAATTAAACTCAGTATATCTGCTGGCTTTGTAACTTATCTGCTTGTTCTTTGATTGGCTTGTGACTCCCTTCTTCATATTTTCTGCTAATCTTTTATTACTATGTTAACATGCATTATATCCAAGCATTGAACAAGCTTGCCAGAAGTACTTACTTTAGTGTTCATTTGTTTTGTTTACCTGATTGTGGGCTTTTTAGATTCATTCATTATAACTTTGACGTGGAGACAGAAAGGACTTGTGGTGGTGGTGGAGATGATGTTGTACAGTTAGTTGCTATGACAAATGTAGTTTTTCTTTACTAAGACTTTGGTCCTGGATATGTTTCTGATGCGTGTGGCCTACGCTGCTGTCAGATACTTGGGGTATGTAAAGACATCTACCACAGCTGTACTGCACACTGAAGTGTGAAGCTGGTATCTTTTATCAGGTCATGCTGAATCTGTAGTAAACGGCTAAAGCAGGTAAGTGAGATTTTTCACAAGCTCTTTTCTCAGATTTTTCCATAATTGGCCTCCTTTGTTCCTGTGTTCCATGATCGTTTTTCTGCCTGGTCTAGAGTCTGGTGCATCATGGGGAACCTTCCAGCCCTTAACACCAAAGAACTTTTCTTTTGCATTTGTAATTTCAAGTGAACTATTTTTTATTCTATAAGCTGTGTGTGACATACCTCATGTTATAATCTTTTCATTTAAGAAAAAGACGACATGTGCATCTGTAACGTGTGTTCATAATAGAAGAGCCTATATTTTGTTTGTTCTCTTACACTGTGAACAATAAACTAGGATTTACTGGAGCACCAGATATGATGCTGAACCTTTTTCTTTGACGTACTAATGAAATGGAGACATGTAGATAAGGAATGAAATAAATATAGTGTATAAAGCATTTATGTGGAGTGTTATTTAAAAAAAAAAAAAAAAAGAAAAAGAAAAAAAAGAAAAGAAAAGCACCATATTTCCAAGTGGTCAGTGGTCAAAAAGGTATGCAGTAATTTGGGTGGAAAGGATCTAAAATATGATGTATAACTGTAACTTTGTGGCTAGGGTTCTCGTCTGAGTTGGGGGTTGTGAGTTCTGCTGGCTTTTTATTTCTGTTAGGTAAGGGAAGATAGCTATGAAGAACAAGATGGACAACTCTTTCAAGTGGATGTCACCAGAACATGCCAAGAGGCATGCAGGGCTTTGTTTCTTCACATTCCTGCTCCCCTATTCAGTTGTTGAGGTATAAGGAATTCAGTCATGCCAAATGGGATACTGAGCATGAGGTCTTGGCTACTGTGAGCCTACTGTGGGTTTTAATAGAACAGGGAATGGTCCTGTTGTATTAACAGGATCATCTGATTTTCAAATCTTTCAGCTTTTTTACTTCTGCTGGTGACTGACATTAAACCACATTTTTTAGTTTTCTTTTTTAAAAGGAGTTTAACAGAAGAATCACCCACTGGGTAAGCAGCCTGCAAAATCAGAACTTTCTCAAACTGAGGTGAAGTGCCACTGGACACCTAGAATGCAAGTTTCTGCTTGAAGAACGGAAATGTATCACTACTTTCTCAGTTACTATGTATTAATAATACAGTTGGTTTCAGTTGCACAAAATTTTTTAAAGCATTTCCTTTGTTTATAGTTTTGTTGTCTTTTGTTTGTTTTTTAAAAATGTCATGTTGTTTCTGACAATACATGGGAAACATCTACATGTTACTATTAGCAGGTCAAAGGAAGAAAAAGACATTAACTATGAGTACACTTTTGTTCATGGCAGCCTGCTTTAAGGTTCAGCCTCATTGGAAGCTTGGAATAAGCTGCATGAATTAGCTTATGTAAATTGTGCGTAACAGATATATGAATGTACTGCTTGAGAGTGTTCTCTGACTTTTTATCATGGCATAGAGTTGAATTTATCCAAATGAGTTGTGTCATCCTTTGAAATTATGCATGACTCCAGTGTTTGTCACAAGAATATAAGGCCCATTCCATCCTTGAGAAGGCATAAATAATTTGCTTAGTGAATCATAGGTGCAAACTATGCCTATGGCAGCTACAGCTGCTGTTTGTGTTGAATAGCGAGTTAATATAGTTGTATTACAGAGTAGTTTTAGAGTTGGTTTATTTTAAAAGTATTTGAGAAATTGGAAATAAGGATTTAATAACACTAAGCCATTCTGTCACCATTAGTGATGTGCTTCCTGTTTTGCTAGAGAGACGTAAAGGCAGTAGAATACAAGAAGAACAGTGAACAAGAGTATTAGAACTACTGGTGAAAAATACTGCCATGGTAGCTTTGGTGGGAGGCTGCAGAGCTGCCAGTGGAAAACAGGCTGTGAAGGCACAGATGGAGGGCCTGTAGCCATTCAAAATTCTAAAGAATCCAAGGCATTGTGCAATGCTGCTTTCTATTTTATGCATGACTATCTGGAGAAGTAAGTACAGTAATGAGTGAAAAGGTGTGAAGAACTAGCTGGGAATGGCCTTTTAGGAAACAGTTCTGACAGTGCTGTGCCAAGAGAAGCTGTCTGGACAACTTTTTATCTGTTGTAAATTCCCAAAGTGAAATATACTATGTTGAGGAATATTGCTTGAAGAAAAGAATAAATATCACTTACTGAAATAGCTACACTGCCCTTGATGAAAATTATTCTAAAATACACTTTCATGGCAAAGCAGTTTTAGTCAGTTTTAACTGCGTAACTGGAAATTTGGATTTGTTTAGAGCTCTTGTACAAACACCTGACTGAGAATTAGTATGAGGTGTTACTAACCACTGGGCAAGCTTTCACGTTTGACATAGACCAGACGTGAAGCCAAAGTGCTTTAACCTTGTAGACCACTTCCTTTCTGGAAATTCATTTTACTGTACTTAAGATATTTACTACTGTGCTTAAAATCTCTGTTTTTCTTTATGAAATAAAAGTCACTTGGCTAGAATTACCTAGGAAAATATCTCAAGATAATGGTTTCTTTTACTGTGGCTGTGATTCCGTAGTTCTTAATTAGTGAAGAATTTTTGTCTAAAGGATACCAAGTACATAATTGGTTTTCTTTATCTCATTGTTACCATAACAGTGAAATCCAGCATTCTTCAGGTTGCTAGAATTAAATTATCATAGTAAAATATTTTTCCTCTTGTATTGTCAAGGGGATGCTTAACCTTTTGCACATCCTTTGAAACAAATGATAGATTGTGTGATTCAAATCTTATGTAACTTGTTTATTTCTTCATTTCAGTACTTACAATTTGGAAATAAGATGCCTTTTAGCATTTTTTAATATTTGAAAAAAAAAATAAAAAATGTCTGCATTCCATTACTTTTATTTATTTATCTTTATTGAAACAAAAATATTCCTGAAGTCAAGAATGGGACATGTACAAGAATTCACTTCATAGTCACAGAATTGTTTGAATTGAAATGGACCTTCAAAGTTCATCTAGTCCAACTCCCCTGCAGTGAACAGGGACACCTACAGCTAGAGCAGGTTGCTCAGAGCCCAGTCCACCTGATCTTGAAAGTCTCCAAGGATGCGGCATCTACCACCTCTCTGGGCAACCTGTCCTACCACCAATTTCTCCACTAAACCACATCTTTTAGTACCACATCTTGAACACTTCCAGTGGCAATGACTCAGCCCGTTTGTGCAGCCCGTTTCTTTTGGAGAAGAAATTTTTGCTGATATCCAACCCAAACTTCCCCTGATGCAACTGGAGGCCATTCCTTCTAGTCCTGTTGATAGTAACATGAGAGAAGAGGCCAATCTCCACCTTGACACAACCTCCTTTCAAGTAGTAGAGAGCTATAAGGTCTGTCTCTTCATGTTCAAGAAACAGTCTATTTCCACCTGAATTGTGGGGTATTTATTCTGCTCCCCATCCCAGACTTCCAGGTCAGGGAGTTGATTGTCCTGACAATAATTGATCTGACTTATAAAAACGGATGTAAAGAAGGCATTGAGAACCTTGGCTGTTTAGTTATCCTCAGTGGTCCGTTCCCTGCTACATCCAGTAAAGACTGGAGATTCTCCTTAGCCCTCTTTTTGTTAATATAATTGTAACAAAGTTTCTCGTTCTTTTGTACTATAGTGGCCAAGTTGAGTTCAAGCTTGGCTTTTTCATTTCCAATTTTCTCCCTGCATATCTTAACAACTTCTTCGTACTCTCCCTTAGTTGTCCTTCCCTTCTTCCACAGAAGGCAGGTTGTCTTTTTTTCTCCTGGAATCAGAAAAAGTTTCCTATTCATCCATGCCAGTCTATCCTGCCAGCTCATCTTACAGCACAGGGGGACAGCCTATTCCTGTGTCTTTAAGACTTCCTTCTTGCAAAACTAGCCTTCCTGGACTCCTTTATTGTGCAGGACTGAATTCCAAGGGACCTTCCCTACCAGTGTCCTCAACAGTTCAAAGTCCACCCTCTGGAAGTCTAAGGTAGTGATTTTGCTGATCCCCCTCCAAACTTCACCAAGAATCAAGAACTCTACCATTGTATAGTCATGCTGCCCAAGTCAGCTCCTGGCCTCCACTTCTCCCACCAGTCCTCTATTTGTGAACAGCAGTTTTAGTGGGGCGCCTTCTCAGTAGGCTCTCTTACCAGCTGTGTAAGGAAGTTATCTTCTGCACACTTCCACACACTTCTTTCCCCTTGTCCTCTTGCAGCAGACCCTGTGAAACAGTGTCCCCTTCTTTCTTATAACCCCTACTTAGATACTGAAAGATCACTATTTGGTCCCCACAGTTCTCACAGCCTGTCTGTATAGGATAAGCGTTCCATTCCTTGGATCATTTTTGTGGCCTTCCTCTAGATACACTCTAACAGATTCAAGTCTCTTCTGTTCTGAGGGCTCCATGTCTGCACACAGTACTCCAGGTAAGATTCAGTTCAGAGAAGAAGGCAGGATCACCTCCCTTGACATTCTGTTCATGCTTCCTTTGATGCAGCCCAGGATATGGTTGGCTTTCTGGGCTGCAAGGGCACATTGATCGTGATCCATGAAATGGACCACCTCTCCTGCAAGGACAGGCAGAGAGAGCTGGGGCTTTTCAGCTTGGAATAAAGAAGGCTGCAGGGTGACCTGATAGCAGCCTTTTAGTATCTAAAGGGGAGCTATGGGAAAGAAGGGGACAGACTCTTTAGCAGGGTATGTGGTGATAGAACAAGGGGAAATGTCTTCAAGCTTAAAGAAGGTAGATTTAGGTTTGATATAAGGAAAAAAATCTTTTAGAGTGAGGATGATGAGGCACTGGAACAGGTTGTCTAGTGATGTGGTTGGTGCACTGTCCCTGGAGAATTTCAGGGTGAGGCTGGATGAGGCCCTGGCAATTTGATCTAGCTGTGGTGTCCCTGTTCATTGCAGGGGGCCTGGACTAGATGGCCTTCAGAGTTCCCTTCCAACACTAAGGATTCTTTGATTCTGTTGCTAGCTCATGTCCAGCTTACCAACCATCACTGCCCTCAAGTCCTTTTTGGCAAGGCTGTA